CATTGAAGCAGTCATTTTTAGTGAGTCATACTTTTTTGCCAAAATCATCAACATTAAAACAATAAAAGGCTTGAACTACTTCAGTTGGTGTGCAATGAATCTAAAATATATGAAAGTTTAATGTTTATCAGTACATTACAGAAAATGAACTTTATCACAATATGCTAATTTTTTGAGAAGGACCTGTAATTCCCCTGATCTAATTTGGGATTAATAAAGTATTTTTGAATGGAATTGAATTAAATCACGAGACATTCAGGAATGAACACAGTTGTTGCTGTGCCACAGTTTGCAGTGTAACTGCAGACAACATATAACACAGACAGGCTGAAATTCTGATCTGTTAATTATTTTGGTATCGGAGCCRAATATCGATACTGGATCGATTTAGTCCCATTTCTTCTTCGATATAATGGGTGTAGCGAGCTGCTAGGAGAGAAACAAAGGGTGATTAACTATTTCACTACACTACACTTAACCAAGTTGGGGCACCAGGTCAGTTATTGACCAACATTTATTCACCCTTTTTAATCAGACTCATATTTACTGAAGTGCGGTCGTATGATATGAAGTGAATTCTTATCTCAGACCAAAATACTCAAAGACGAGGAACCAGCTTTGTCTTTTATGGTAATTTATTACAAAAATACAACAAAAAACTGTAAAAATAACAACAAAGACAAGCTATAAGGTTACTAAACAGTAAAAGATGAAAAGSATTGTAGACTTGATGTTATACGTCTAGTTAAGATAAGGTCTGGATGTTAAAACCTTTTTATAGAATGAAATTATATTTTTCCCAAATGAAATATTTTTTTTCTGTTAATTAGTTGATGAGACCCAGGATAAAACCTTCATGAAATTTAGTAAAAAGGTGTTAAGATCTGAGCCAGATCATTTTAGTTACTAACTTTTATCTTACTGCAGAAAGAAGGTTATCAGGTTGCCTCAGCTGTTTTAAACCAGAATTGTTCTGTGAACCATTTGCGTAATGCCTAATTAGGTACAGTTCATTAGCACACCAGAGATGGGGACTTCCCTCTGTCTTATTGTAGGTGAAGGCTTGTATGCTGAACTGTGAGGTCCAGACAATTCAAATCTGCCCTGAGGTGATTACGGAGAGGTTTGTGCAGAATCGAACTCTAGTACGGTTTGGCACGCCGTAACCAAACAGTTTTCAGACCCCTCCGGGTCAGCCCAAACTTCTTGTTTGCAGTACCGGTAATCAAAAATTACATTTTTCCAAAATGGTTCTGGTCCATCTCAGGTTTCTGAAGCTCTCCAGCTTCTTCAAATCTCTCCTCCGCACCCTCTGAAAACCAAAACTAGACTGTGTCTGTTTGGCACAGCAAACAGCTGAGTGTCTGTCCGACAAAACAAAAGATAACCAGGTCTTTGTCAGAAAAACATGATATTTCTTTTAGGGACAATAGTACGTCTTCTTAGAGTGGCGTAGTGTCACACAAACTTTCTCTTGCTCATCTGCTTGGAGAAAGGAAAAGTGAACGGTCAGTTACATGTAACACTGGATGTTAAAATTACATGACAGTTCAAATTATTCATATTCAGTTCACAGTATGTTATACACACTTAAAATAGAAATACCTTTAAAAAAGAAAATCATGTTAATGATTATTAATGATTATTTTCTTTTTTATATTTTATTAACTACAAAAGATTAAAACAGACTTGTCACGTCAGCATTATCTGCAGACGAGGTCATATTTTGAAGCTAAAATAGAGTTTTGTCTCTAAGACAGCTTTTTCAAAAACAAAGTTCAGTTAGTTGTGAGACATAACCAGCGAAGGTCATATCAGGGATCACGGTCGTTCATGCTATATGGACATAAAGTCAAGACTTTCAGTTTTCATTTGAAGGTATCCAGATTAAAAATGGATGAAGGGTTTAAGTGTTCAGGTCCTTAACATGTYCCCACCCTGTTTTTAAAGGGGCCAAAAGTAATTGGACAATTGACTCAAAGGCTATTTCATGTGCAGGTGTGCAGGGYCATTGCATTTAGGCTGTTATGCACAGGGATGTTACCTTCTAGGAAATCATGGTTAAACTATTACCTGTTAAAGTTGTACTTTGTGGGTTTTTTTCATCTTTTTCATCTCACTTTGTTAAACAATGTATTATGGTGAACATGTCTGTTTCTTTGGAGAATTTATCTCATTAAGCAGTGGTGGTGGATTTAATATCTTTTGAACACATTTTGCAGATGTTTGCTGAAACTGTTGCCAGTTCAGGATCTAGCAGACACAGTAAATACATTGAAGGCATTGAAAACATGACGGTAAGTGTACGACCCTACCTACAGCTGTAATGGGCCCATCTATCAGCAGTCTAAGTTGGTACTGTTCATGTGTTGAAGTATATTTGGATGATTTGTTTGTAGCTCTTTGGATGCTTTGCCCTTACTGAGCTGAGCCACGGCAGCAACACCCGAGCCATGAGAACAACAGCTACATATGACCCATCCACCAAGGTACAAAACCAGATACACTCTAGTTTTTGATTCACTTAGTCCAATTCAGTTCAGTTCAGTTCACCTTAGTTCAGTTCATTCAGTTCAATAAAAAAATTATTAACTTCAAAGGAAATTTGAATGCTGTTGTAACTCATATTATCCTGATTTCTTTAAAGAGTTGTTATAGATACTGATGGCTGTGGGCAGGAAGGATCTCTTGTAAGACAGACTCTCAAAGAGTCTGTCTTACAGTGGATCTGAAGAAGCCTCTAACTGAATACACTTTGTTGTACCATGCCTGGCCAAAAAAATGTTGCCATCAATAAACGTCACACACTAATATTTTGTTGGACCACCTTTAGCTCCGATTATGGCATTCATTCGCTTTGGCATTGTTTCGATAAGCTTCTGCAGTGTCACAAGATTTATTTCCAGCCAGTGTTACATTAATTTTTAATAGGGGTGATACCAGCATCAAGTACTCATACTCGTACTCGTAAAAGCCGGCCGATACTCTTAATCGATACCGCTTTTGTCCCCTCC